TGACACCACCGTGGCCACCGCGCGCCCAGCGGGGGCGGATGGGCGGTCCACTGCATCCGAATCGCCCTAGCGACGGCTGGTCATTCCTCTCGCGCGCACACGCAGCTTCGCTTCGCCCGCACGCACGCCGTGAACACAAGTCCGAAACCGATTTCTCGGTGGGGGGCTCTCCGTTCCACCGTTCCGCTGCGATCTCAGCCCCCCAACCTCTGATCTACCTATACGACCACCCTTCAGGTGATAAAGGGAGTTGGGGGGCGAGGGGGAAAGAGCCAACTGATGGCGAATGCGATGTGTGTGATGATGACGATGCTGGTGACGCGCCATCGCGTTAGCGACGACGCGTGATGGCGATATTGCGCCGCGATGTATTGTCACGATCGTCCCCGCATTCAATCTCACTCGATCGATCTCAATGTCGACCTCACAGGATCCATCATACTCGATCGATCTCGCCATAGATCCCACCATTGATCCTTTCATACATCTCACTATAGATCTCGCTTTCGATCTCACTATCGATCTCATTACCGATTCCTCTGTCGATATCACTATCGACCTCATCGATCTCACAATCAATGGCACAATCAACCTCATTGTCGATTTCACTTTGATTTCACTATGCGCCACTTTCTAGCGATCCCATTATCGATCGCACGATTGACTTCACTATAGATACCAAGGCGGGACGCCCACGGCCACCGCCGGCCCACCGTCGACGGAATACCGACGGGTGACCAACGGGACACCAACGGGACACCACAGAACACCACGGCGTGGCACCCGTGGCCACCGCGCGCCAACCGGGGCCGGAGAGGCGGTCCATTGGATCCGAGTCGCCATAGCGACGGCCAGGTCATTCCTCTCGCGCGCCCACGCACATTCGCTTCGCCCGCACTCACGCACGAAAACGAAACCGCAACCGAATTCCTTGTGGGGGGCGTTCCGTTCCACTGCGACCTCACCCCCCAACTTCTGACAAACCTCGACCCTCGACACTGGATCCCTCATCCCCCCCCGTCGATCGTGGACGACTGCGACGACGTTGGCGGCGTCTCCGACGACCACGACCACAACCACGACGGCCACGGCTACGACAACAGTGACGACGAGTAGCCCTGGCGACCTCCAGAGGTCTGACGACGACCACAGCGACGAAGATCGATCGACGACGGCCGACGACCTCCACAGATCTCAAGAGTCGGGAGGCATCCGGAGGCCCCAGCAGAGCACAACACGCCCCAGAACGTCCAATCGGCCGATCACTTCCGCAGACGACAACCATCACCACCACGACCACTGCGACGATCACCGCGACGATCATCACGACGGCGGCGGCGGCTACGGCGGCGGCGGTGGCCTGGCGGTCCTGAGCCTCGGGGCCCTCCTCCCTCCTGGGCCACCGTGGCAGTCACGTCACTTGTGCAGTCTGGGAAACACTCGGAGCCTTCCAGCACATCACGCGCGGATCTCGCACGGCTCCGCGGCAGCCCACCGAACCCGAAGCCATCCCCCAGAAGGTCAAGCATTTCCACGTGCCAAAGGTGGCCTTTGCTTAGGGAGTCTCTCCTTCGGTATCCTGGGGCTCGTGGATTAGGGCAAGGTCTACTGACAACGACAGGGCAGCTGGCTACTCTGTGTCCCTCAGGGGGGCACCTGTAGTCCAGAGAGGGTACCTGTAGTCTGGCCGCGGGGTACCTGTAGTACGAGAGGGGTACCAGTAGTCCAGGGTGGGGCACTTGTAGTCCAAGGGAAGGGTACCTGCAGTCTGGGTGGGGGGGTCCTGCAGTCTGGGGGGGACCGCATGTTAACGCGTCAACGCGCGCGCGTGGATGTAGTCTGGGGGGGGGTACCTGTAGTCCGGGAGGGGGGGTGCGTCTAGTCCGCGGGGAGTACTTTTAGTTCGGAGGGGGGGGGGTACCTGTAGTCCGGGGGGGGTACCTGTAGTCACTGCAGCCCGGGGAGAGGGTCCCCGTAGTCCAGGTGGTAGTTGTAGTCCGGGGACCCAGAAATAGCGAGGGACACATAAGTAGAACCTAAGCGCGCGTGGTTCTAGTGTACAACTATAAACACGTATGCATTTACATCTTATTTATTTATATCTATATATATATACATACAGATATGTGTATATGTATCTGCATCTGTGTGTATATATTATTTGTATATCTATATATATATATATATATATAGACACGCATGTTATGGGACTTCGGCCAGTCCCGCCACAGTACCTGGATTGCGGGTCAGAGTCCGCAGGGGTGTTTCTTGGGGTCTCTTCGGGGCGTTTTGGGGGGCCTCTTGTGGGCATGTTTGGGGCCTCTTGGGAGCCTCTTGGAGGCCTCTGGGGAGCCTGTTGGCGGTCTCTTTGGCCTTCCTGGGGGCATCTTGGTGCCTCTTGGGCGCCTTTTGGGCGCCGTTGGGGGCTTCCTGTCCGAGCACACTATATGACCACCACCACCAAGATCGGGAAACATCTACGATTCCGATTTGGTGCGGTACTGCTCTGGTGAAAACCCGCCGCGCCCCTTTCCGCCGCCAGCGGCAACCGGACTGCCCTCTCTCTTTCAAGGGCCGAAGCAGAGTTCCTCAAAACACGCGCGGTGGTGGTGCCTATAGTACTGGTTACACAGAGGAGCGATTTTTTTCGGAAGCCGGGCAAGGGCTGCTAAATCCGTGGCTGCTAAAATCGACCTCCGGGAAGTTGTCTTCGTCCTTCCGGGAAGAAGCCCGTTGATTGTTTCGCGTGCCGCGCCTCATTCCGGGAAGTTGTTCTTTTCCTTCCGGGAGGGCCGTTTTAGCAGCCACGGTTTTAGCAGACCTCGCCCAGCTTCCGATTTTTACACCATCGCCAAGGAGTGCTGTGTCTGCTTCTGGAGCTCCCAATACCGTGACGCCCGCGCCGCCGCGCCGCGCTCCTAATTCGCCGCGGGGTCGCGGCGCTTCGTCTGGCACGGCCCTGCCCCAGCTATTTTTGTGCGATTCCTCACTGTTGCGGGCGGTGGTGGTGGTATCTAATAATCTCGGGGGTGGACAGAACCCCCAACAGTGACACGTCGATTAGTGAATTGTCCGTTTTCGGTTCTCGAGATGGCGCCGTGGCCGTTATTGTCCAGGCTTGCGCCCGCCAGGTTTGGGCCTCAGGTCGTTTTCACTAAACCACTTTTTACTAAAGGGGGTTCTGTCCATCCCCGATAATCGGCCTCGCATCCTGGGGTCCTCTCGGGGCCGAGGGCTGGACATGTCCGTTCGGGTCCCCCGTCTGGGCCCCCTCCTTGAGCCGTCCTGTGGCCTCTTGGGCCGTCTTGGAGTCCTCCTGGGTGGTCTTGGGCAGGGCCGTTTTTGGGGGGCGTTCTTGGAGGCCCCTTGGGCCGTCCTGGGGCGATCGTGGCGAGCGTGGGGAAGCCGAGGAGGCGAGAACGAATATTTTCCAAAAGCCTCACGACATGACTGGATATTGCCTCATGGGACCCTCTTGGCAGGCTTCTTGGGGCGTCTCGGGGGCATCTTGAGCCGTCTTGAGACGATCTCGGTCGTCTTGGAGCGATATTTCGGCGATTCGGAGCCCTCATGGGCCGTCTTGGCGGCCTCTCGGGGCCCACTTTGCCCGTCTTATGACGTTTCGGGATTCGGAAAAATTATGCGACACGTCGCCGGGGCCCAGGATGCACGCGACAAGTTCCGAGAGATTCAAGAGTTTGGGGCCCAGACCCCTTGAATAATCTTCAGGATTGAGGACTGAGGCTTAAGGAATTCTTGACACTCTGCGGATCCCCACCATCTCACCCAGACACGATCGGAGGTTTTCTTGAGGCCTCTTGGAGACTATCTTGAGTCATGTTCGGCTAGAGGCTGTCGGAGGATACCGTGAGCTCAAAGGACTCTCTGAGGACATTATGTGGAGCCTCTCGGGCCACTCTTGGAGCCCTTCTGGGATTGATTTTGGGGGTCAAAGGGCCATCCTGGGGCTCCTTGGAGGTGTCGTGGAAGCCTCTTGGGCCCCATGGCTGAAGAGGGGGGGGGCGAATTCAGGCCCCCCACCCGCGGAGGCTCAACAAGGGCGTCTTGGGGTGTTTTTGCAGCGCTCTCGGGGCCCTCTTGGGGCTCTCTTGGGCGGTCTTGGGGCTGATGTCTCAAGATGCCATCGGAAGCGAAAAGGCGAGAAGGCACAACACATTGATTGATCCTCGGTACTGGAGCCATTTTGGCCTCTTGGGGAAAACATTTTGGAGGGCTCGGAGGGCACTGGACACCGTCTTGAGGCCTCTTGGATGCTTGTCGTAGGCTATCTTGAACCATCTTGAGATATCTTGAGCAATCTTGGAGGCCATCGTGGGCTCTCGAAGGCCCTCTTGAAGCCCTTTTGGAGTCCTCGTGGGCGCTGTAACTACCGCCCCCCCCCCCCCCTCCCAGACCCAGGGGAGGTGTAGGGGAAGGGGTACACCCCTCCCCCGAGCAGGGGAATGAAGGGCTTTCGCAGAGAGAAGACCAAGTTCGTGACACCACCTACGCTCCGAGAGCTCGTAAAATCAGGCCACGGACTTGAGGGGACTCCAACTCGTGACTCAAGGCACCGTGGCGGATACATTGATGTAGAGAGAGAGAGGAAGAAAGAAAGAAAGAAAGAAAGAAAGAAAGAAAGAAAGAGAAAGAGAGAGAGAGAGAGATAGAGCGATAAGCGCAGGACGCAATGCCCGTCCCAGCGTTCCTCGATCACGCCACTGGGTCCAGATTTCTTGGCTGAGCTTGATCGCGGGGATGCCGCTGCGCGCAGAGCTGTGTGGGAGGACGTTCACACGCAACCGTTGTCTTCCAAGCGGGCCACGCCTAGAGACGGCGAGCGAATTGGTAAAGTCACCATGGCTTGAGAGCTCTCTCTGTATTCATAATGTTAAGTGGTACATTGAACTTGAGACGCCTTTGGCAATTTCGCCAAATAAAATGTAGACAGAGAGTGAGAGAGAGAGTGAGTGAGAGCGAATGAGAGAGAGTCCCCGCAGGTGCGTTGGGAGATCTACAGCACCTGGAAGTTGCTGCTCTGCCTGCACCACGCGGAGTACGAGGCCTCGCAGTGCCGGCGCTCGTGGACTCGCCCAGCCTGGCGGACCGAGGCGCAGGCGTTGCAGCACGTCTTCCTGGAGACCTGGAGGTGAACACAAAATTGCGTAAGACTAGTCAGGACAAGGAGGAGGAGGAGGAGGAGGAGGAGGAGGAGGAGGAGGAGGAGGGAGGAGGAGCAGGAGGAGAGAGAGGAGGGAGGGAGGGAGGGAGGGAGGGAGGGAGGGAAGCAGGGAGGGAGTAAGGGAGGGAGGGAGGGAGGGAATGAGGGAGGGCGGGCGGGCGGGCGGGCGGGAGGAGGAGCAGGAGGAGGAGGAGAAGGAGAAGGAGAAGGAGAAGGAGGAGGAGGAGGAGGAGGAGGAGGACCAGTGTAAACCCAAGAGTCATCTACGATGTTGGAGTAAACCGTCCCTCCAAGCTCTCTCTCTGCATAGGCCCCTGCAACGTTTCATTTCCATTGATGGAACTGCCTCGTTGGAAGACACCCGTTTGAAGACCCTGAAGCATGCCAAAGCATTGTTCCAGGAATTCAAACGCCACGGATCAGCCTGACTGTTGCGTCTTGACCCTGAATCGCGCCAGAACGCCAGTCCTAGGACTTAAAATAATTGATGCACCCGCATAATCCTGAATCCTTCCAAAACACCGTTTTCTCTAGTTCGTTGATGATGGAAATCCGTGAAACACGTGCAAATGTTTAAATCGAATGTGCGCCGCGCTAAGGCGAGATCCACATTTTGACAACCACCCGCCCTCAATCCGTGAAGCTCTTGCACATGTTTGAACGAATGTGCGCCGCGCTGAAGCAAGAGCCACATGTTGAACATGAGCCGCCCTCAATCCGTGAAATTCTGACACGAGTTTAGAACGCATGTGCGCCGCGCTAAGGCGAGAGCCACATTTTGAAGACCACCCGCCCTCAATCCGTGAAACTCTGGCACATGGTTAAAACGAATGCGCGCCGCGCTAAGGCGACAGCCACATTTTAAAACGACCCGCCCTCAATCCGTGAAGCTCTTGCACATGTTTGAAACAAATGCGCGCCGCGCTGAAACAAGAGCCACACTTTGAAGAGGAGCCGCCCTCAATCCGTGAAGCTCTCGCACATGTTTGAACGAATGTGCGCCGCGCTAAGGCGAGAGCCACATTGTGAAGGCCACCCGCCCTCAATCCGTGAAGCTCTTGCGCATGTTGAAAACGAATGCGCGCCGCGCTAAGGCGAGAGCCACATATTGAAAACCACCCGCCTTCAACCCGTGAAACTCTGGCACATGTTTAAAACGAATGTGCGTCGCGCTAAGGCGAGAGCCGAGCCACATTCTGAAAATGAGCCGTTCTCAATCCGTGAAGCTCTGGCACATGTTGAAAACGAATGTGCGCCGCGCTGAAGCGAGAACCACAGTTTGAAAACGGCCCGCCCACCATCTGTGAAGCTGTTGCCAATGTTTATTTTTCAGAGTCCTAAGTGGTGAGGAGGTCTCAGGCGAACCGCCCGATCCGCCCTAAGAATTGGCCTCGGGGTGCGGCAGGGCGATCTTTAAAAAAAAAAAAAAAAAAATGGAGTAGGAGTGGAGGAGGAGGAGGAGGAGGAGGAGGAGGAGGAGGAGAGAGGAGGAGGAGGGAAGGAGGAGGAGGGAAGAGAAGGAGGAAGATCAGGAGGAGAGAGAGAGATGAGAGATCGAGGAAGAGGAAAAGAAGAGAGAGGAGGAGGAGGAGAGGAGGAGGAGGGAGGAGGAGGAGAAGGAGGAGGAGGCGGGAGGAGGAGAAGGAGCAGGAGGAAGAAGACGAAGAAGAAGGAGAAGACGAAGAGGAGGAGGAGGAGGAGCAGGAGGAGGAGGAGGGATGAGGAGGGCGGAGGCGGAGGAGGTGGATGAGGAGGAGGAGGAGGAGGATGGGGAGGAGGAGAAGGAGGAGGGATGATGATGATGATGATGATGATGATGATGATGAGGAGGAGGAGGAGGAGGAGGAGGAGGAGGAGGAGGAGGGAGGAGGAGAAGGGAGGAGGAGGAGGGGGAGGAAGAGGAGATGGATGATGATGTTGCTGATGATGCTGATGATGATGCTGATGATGATGATGGTGATGATGCTGCTGATGATGATGATGCTGTTGATGATGATGCTGATGATGCTGACGATGATGGTGGTGGTGATGATGATGATGCTGATGATGATGATGATCATGATGATCATGATGCTGATTATGATGATGATGATGATGATGATGATGATGATGATGATGATGATGATGATGATGGTGATGATGGTGATGTTGATGACGCTGATGATGTTGATGTTGGTGATGTTGAGGTTGATGCTTATGACGATGGTGGTGATGATGATGCTGATGCATATGATGTTGATGCTGGTGTTGAGGCTGGTGATGCTGATGGTGATGATGATGCTGCTGCTGGTGATGCTGATGGCGACGATGAGCGGGGGAAGGGGGAGGCAGAGGAGGATAAGGAGGAGGAGGACGTCGTCATCTTCGTTGTCGTCGTCGTCGCTGTCGGCGTCGTCGCCGTCGAGGGTGCGAGGTTCGATGAGACCCTGGGGACCCGCATGTTCGAGGTGTGAGACTTCGAGGGTCGCGTCTTCGGAGCGTCGAGGCCGATGATCGAGGCCTCGAGTCTGCGAGGCTTCAGGCTTCCTGGCTTCCAGCAGTCGAGGTCGAGGTCTCGAGCAGCCAGGCTGCAGGACCGAGGCCTCTAGGATCGAGTTCATATTCAAGGATTGAAGCTCCGAGGCTTCGATCACCGAGGCTTTCAAGATCGAGGCTTCGATAATCGAGGCTTCGAGCCTTCGAGGCATCAGACTTCGCGGCTTCAGCAGTCGAGGTCTCGAGCATCGAGGCTTCAGGACCGAGGCCTCGAGGCTCGAGTCCAGGTTCAAGGATCGATGCGTCGAGGTCCGAGGATCGCGCTGATGCATGCGGTGGTGTGACACATCGCATCGATACGTTGGTTTCGAGACTTTCGACTGCACCTATCGTGTTTTTTATATATATATATATATATATTTATATATATATATATGTAGATGGTTGAAAGTTTAGGGCAAATTCGATCGTTCCCGACGTTCTAGGACGGCTTCGAGCGCTCTCCCATGCCCAGGAGGTTCTCTGTCGTTGATGCCGTCGTCGCCGTCGAAGTTCGAGGATTGAGGCTTCCAGGATCGAAGCTTCAAGGATCGAGGTTCGAGGATCGAGGCCTCCAGGATCGAGGCTTCCAGGATCGAGGATCGAAGCTTCGAGGATCGAGGCTTCGAATAGTTGCTGGAGATCTGGGAACGTAAAGTGTCGCAGCGGTGCGGTGTGAGGTGCTCGGTGTTTCGATTGCGCCACTGCGATTGCGATTCTTGCGTTATGAGTCTCGTTCCGAGCCGAGGCTTGCTGGAGAGGGGTGGCGACAGCAGAGAAACCGCCGAGAGCTCGCGAAAGCCCATGCACACTTGCCTGTTCCTCCCTCCTCAATCCTCATCGGTTCTCCTCCTCGATCCTCCTCATCGTCCTCTTCCTCCTTACCCCTCGTTCTCCTCCTCCTCCTCGTTCTCCTCCTCCTCCTCGTTCTCCTCCTCCTCCTCCTCCTCCTCCTCGTTCTCCTCCTCCTCCTCCTCCTCCTCCTCCTCCTCCTCCTCCTCCTCCTCCTCCTCCTCCTCCTCCTCTCCAATCCGCCCGTATAGGGTCGGCGGGTCTCGCCGCATCGCCAAGGCATCGGCGGTGCGGCTCCGACGCATCGCCGATGCATCCCCGACGTCTCCGATGCACTGCCGATCGCAGATGCATCGGCGATGCGGCGAAATCCTCCGACCCCGTTTGCTCGGACCCCCACTTGGGGCGGCGGCTCTCCTCGTCCCCTTTTCCCGTCCCTGTGAGCATCAAGGCCTTGGCTTCTGCAGGGCTCAATGTTGGCGCCAGAGCTTGGTACAACGTTTCAGCTGCGGCGACGAGAAGCGGCACCCCCCAACGGCAGACCGCGCACACACACACACACACACACAACACAAAGGCACAGCTCGATCCTCGACCCACCCCTGCCCGATCCCACCCGATCATCCTCGATTCTTCTCAATGCCCTTCGATCTTTCTCCTCCTCCTCCTCCTCGGTCCTCCTCCCCCTCCCTCTACCTTCTTACACCTCCTCCTCATCACTCCATCCTCTTCTTCCACCTCCTCATGCCTGATCCCTGCCCCTCCCTCCCTGCTCCTCTTTCTCCTCGTCTTTCTCCTCCTCCTCCTCATCCTCCTCCTCCTCCTCCCTCAGCCTTGCTCCTCCCTCCCCTCCCCATCCCTCCTCCTCATCACCATCATTACCAGCACAACCATCATCATCAGCATCATCGCCATCAGCAGCTGAATTATCACCACCACGATCACCACCACCTGGTGAAAGGCCACCTGATCTCCATGACCTCGCAGGCTGCTGGGACCAGGGAGGCGATGCCGAACCGACCGCGGCGGGCAAAAGAGTTTAGACGGCCACGCACAAGCTCGAGCTGGATGTGGAGACAGCGGCGGATGTGACGGAGGCGAATTCCCCTGCGCTCGGGGACCAGTTTCGTAAGCTTAAGCGCGGGCGTGGAGGAGGCGGCGGCTACGGTGACGAGACTTTGGATTCATATGCTGATCCGAGACCCCTGTCCCAGGTCGCTCAGACGATCAAGAGCATAGAGGTCAAGTTGACTGAGCTTGCGCAGGCCCAGGCTATCGCATCGTCGGCGGCATCGATATCTTCATCTTCTTTCTTCGAAAGTGGCGCAGGACGGAAGAAGGCGATGCGCCTGGATGGGCACACTGGTTCCATCGGTGACGGGCCAGGTCGCACGAACATTTGAATTCGTGGTTTCCCTAGGTAGGTGTCCAAGGCCAAGCTAGGTGCACAGTGCACCCGATCGATGCGAAGTCTGGACTCGTAACATGTTGACGGCCTATGTCATTGAGTCCCAGAGCGATCAGGATGCGACAAATTTCTACGACCAGTTCACGATCAGTAAGTTCTCAAAATATGCGCGGTGCAATCTAGATCGCGCTACCGACGTTGCGCTATCCAGGTGACGTAAGCCACGTGGCGCAATCTACGCGGTGCAAGGCAATGCAAGACAACGCACAGCAGTGTAAAGCAACGCGACGCGACGGGAGGCAGCGCGAAATTATGCAAAGCAACGTTAGGCATTGCAACGCAATGCGAAGCAACTCAACGACATGCAACGCAAACGTATGCAAAGCAATGCAGGTCAATGCGAAACAATGACCGCGAGACAATTGAAAGCAACGCAAAATGATGCAAAGCAGCGAAACGCACTGCGCAGTAATGGTACGCAACGCACAGTAGGACAAGGCAATGCAAGGCAATGCCAAGCCACGCGTCACAGCACCAGCAGCGCGAAGAACTACAAAGCAGCGCATTGCAACGCAGAGCAATACCATTACAAAGCAACGCAATGAGATTGCAGCGCAATGCGATCGCAGATCAAACCAACGCGATGCGAGGCAATGCGATTGCAACGCAGTGCAACGTACTGCAACGGAGGGGGGGCGGGGCTGACGGTGCGGCGGCGGCGGGCGGGGGCGGGTCCGCCGGGCCCGCGAGCGGGCTCTTCCTTTGGCAAGTTGCTGCGGCCACTGACCAGAATGGGGCCGCCGGGGCCTTTCGAAGCGGAGTCAAAAACCTCTAAGTGCAGGCACTGATTGGGGAAACATTGGTTGTTCAGTGAGGTGCAACAGGTGCGTCTAGGAATGGAGCGGCGCCTCATCGTGTGCGAATTTCTAGGCGCGCTGGCGGCCAAGCGCGAGCCCGCCCCTGGCCCTGGCGGCATTGGAGGTGCTGCGCAGCAAGCCGGCGGCGATTTGTGCCACGATTGCCTCTTGGATTTCCATTCCCTCCCGCTCGACTGCAGCGGCGCGAAAGTGAGCTCAAATAGCGCTCATGTTGGATTTTTCCTCAGGGGGATGGTGGAGGCGGTGCGGGAGCTGGGGGTGGAGAGGTTGACGAATGGCCCATCTCCCGCGCAGCTGGCTCGACTAGGCCAATGGCGTGATCAGTTTGCGATAACAAGATTACCTCCGCTGCTGTGGCCGACCCCTTCTTTGCTCAAGCTCAGCGCGCGGCCCTTGAGGCGCGGGATGAATTCCCGAACAGTGCTTGTACGCATGGGGTTCCTACTTATGGACTTTGGAGCTGGTTGTCTGTCGGCGGCTCCGCGGTCGCCGTCGCCGCCTCGTCGCCGCCTCTTCGCCGCCCGCGGTCTGGGCCTGGCAGTTGGTCTGGCAGCTCCGTGGTCGCCATCTCCGCCTCGTCGCCGCCCGTCGTCTGGGGGATGATGATGATGATGAGGAGGAGGAGGAGGAGGAGGAGAAAGAGAAGGAGGAGAAAGAGAAGGAGGAGGAGGTGGAGGAGGAAGAGAAAGGGGAGGAGGAGGAGGAGGAGGAGGAGGCAGAGGAGAAGGAGGAGGAGGAGGGGAGAGGAGGAGCCAGCGGGTCCGTGGTCGCCCTCGCCGCCTCGTCGCCGCCCCGTGCCCGCCCGCCGTCGGGGTTTGGGCGTCGGGCTGACGGCTATGTGGTCGCCGCCGCCGCCCTGTCGCCGCCCGTCGTCCAGGCCTGCGTTTCTTCGCACTGCGCTGCGTTGCTGCGTCGCGCTCTGCAGTGCATGACAGTGCCCCACGTTGTGTTGCTTGGCGTTGCGCATGGTTCTGCACTGCGCTGCATCGCTATACGTTGTCTTGCAGTGCTTCGCCTTGCTGCTCATTGATTTTGATTCGCATTGCTCTGCGCGGCGTTGCCCTGCATTGCTTTACGTTGCTTTGCATTGCTCCGCACTGCCTTGCACAGAGACTGTTTCCCGTGGGTTGCGCAGCATTAATAGCGCACCACACAGACCGCGCCGTAAAGTGTGCTCCGCATGGCCTGCGCCACTTAGGTTGCGCTACATTGGTTCGCCATCTTGAACGCGCAATATTGATTGCACAACGTAGCTTGCACCACATAGATTCTCCGTTCTAAGAATGAATGCCCCCCACCCGCACCCCTCGAAGCCGGACTCGTCTACCCCCCCCCCCACCCTTGGGGATCGGTATGCGTTCCAGATTGATCTGCGTCGATGTGCTGATCGTTTCGGGCTTCCCGCTCGTGTTCGACGTGTCGAGTGTTCTAACCAGAGCCGCCGCCATGTGCCGAACAGCACTGAACAGTTTAGCTTTTGACGAGTTTCTTATCCAGCGCCACCTGTGGGAGCAGGTAGAAACAGAGCGCATTCTGGTCCGAAGGGAGAAGGAACTGATGGAGTGCTCAGTGTGCGTCGCGATGTTGAGAAATTACCGCTCGCTCTGTAACCTCTGCCCGCAGCTCGATGAAGACAGCCACGACATCCAGCGTACGACGTGCAATGCTCTGATTTCCCGCTTCGACATACCCCCTTTGTGCACCGAGCTCATTCCCCGTGTTGACCACTTGTTCCCAGGCCGCGTTGAGAGTTCCTTCTCTATATATGATTTTTTGTCAACGCGATTCTGCCTGCCAGCACGATGTGTCCGTTCCTAGGCTTCCGCCTTCCGAGAAGTATCAACAATGCTTGGCCGACCTCCGCGATACATACCGACAGGGTACTGTAAATCGCAGATTCAGTGGTGGCGCGGTCGGGGGAGATCCTATTCTTCACTATGTTGATTGTCCGTTCGCTGTTCCCATTCTCCAAGAAGTGATCCCCTTTTTCCATGTATGGCACAGCTACCTCCGAGGATACGAAAGGCTCCTTTCAAGCTCCCCCGCCCCCTCTCCAACACCACCGCTCTGGTTGGCTGCATGGTCGTTCACGATGTTTTGCTCGCGCTTCCAAGCATCTTGAGAAGCGAGGGATCGCTGGGCCTCTGGAGACTCGGGAGCCTCATGAGGAGCCGCGCCCGTGCGGTGGCCAAGCGGTCCCCCGCGCTCCGTGGGGCCCTCCAGACGCACTGAGACCAGAAGGGGGCTTGTCATCAGCAGCGCCATCGTTCGCCTCCTGCTCCTCTTCCTCCTGTTCCTGCCCCTCCCCTCCTCTTCCTCCTCGTCCCTCCCCCCCTGCCCCCCTCCCTCCCTCCCTGGCCCTCCTCCCCTCCCCCTCGCCCGCCGGCGTGCCGGTGGGCCGACGGCTGCTGAACGGAGACCCCTGGAGCGCCGGGTCGAGGGCGGCTGGCGGCCGCCGTCTGGGCGCGTTCCCCCTCCCCTCTTGCGTCCCGACTTCCGCGGCGGAAGGTCGGCGGAGGCAAAACGGGGCCGCCTCCGCCGGCGGAGGGGCGGCGGATGGCGGCGGAGGTAAGTGATGCGCCCCCGTGCAAGAGATGGCAACGTTTCTGGGTCCAGGGTCTCCGAGAAGGCCCACGTGCCCCTCGCGTGCTCCCCGGCCGCGCCGGCGGCGCCCCAGGAGAGCAGGAGCCTCCGGAGGCTGGGCGCCGTGCTCCGCTGGCTGCGGTGGGCGCACCGGTGGGGCCCGGCGGGCCGGCGGGCGGCCGAGGACCTCGGGCCCGCAGGCGCAAGTCACCGCAGGCGTGAGGCTTGGAGGCTGAGAGGACCCCCGCTTGTCATGAAGAAGACAGGTTGTCATAATCATCGGCTGTCCTTTGTCATGAATCACGGAGGTTGTCGGAACAGGTTCTTCTGACAACAGGTTTTGTATGGCAACCGTGTTTTTTATGACAACCGGTTTCATGACAACCGCCGAGGTTCGCCCACTGGTTGGTGTGTTTCCGGGCCGTTTGCATTGGATGGGTCTGTGTTGCTCCCCAGGGTTCTGCCCACCCCCCGAGAGACGCCGGGAGGGCCGGCGGGCGGCCGAGGACCTCGGGCCTGCAGGCACAAGACACGGCAGGCGTGAGGCTTGGAGGTTGAGAGGACTTCCGCCGTGGTTCGCCCACCAGTTGGTGTTCGGAGGCCCGGAGGTTGGCACCAACACCGAGATCGGCAGTGTGCCTCCACCGAGGGAAGCGGATCCCAATGACGGTGATGGTGGTAATATCTGGGCTGCCTGAGCGGCCCGGAGTTCACCACCAACACCAGACCCTAGGATCATCTTCCCCAGGGAAGCAGCCCCCTGTTTGGGTGCCGGTGCCCTGTTCACGAAGGAACAACACACACCCATACCCATAGGGGGGTTCGAGGGGAGGAGGACTGGCTATGGGTATGGGTGCGGGTTGTCGGACCCTGGGGAACGCTCCCGTTCGAGCGGAGCCCCCCATCCGACAACACGCACACACAGCCCTCTCCGACCCCCTTGTGGGTACGGGTGTGTGCTGTTGGTTCGGCATCCTTTCCCAGGCCCCAGGGTGTGGTTCCGGGCCGTTTGCACGGAGGGGTTTGTGCTGCTCCCCAGGGCTCTGCCCACTTTGGCATCGCTCGGACGTGTGCATTTTTCCTTCGGCGAGGACCATCGAGCAGCATCCTTGATCAGTTGGCGAAAAAACCACGCACAAAACCAAAAAAGCACAGGGAATGGACGTCCGAGCGATGGCCAGCCACCCCCGAGGGGCGCCGGGAGGGCTTTGGGGAAGGCGGGGGCCCTCGGAGGGCCCGAAGGCTTCCAGGAAGACGGATTTCGCAGGAGGCGTCAGTCAGGAGGGGAATAAGCGTCGACTCCCCAGAAAATATGGGAAAACATGGGAAGTGGGGGGAAGACAAAAACCCAGAAAATACAGGAAAATATGGGGCATCTTTTTACTTGTGTGTATTTATTTATGTGTCCTTGGGCCCCTTCAGTCAGGGCTTCTCGAAGGGCCCCCTGCCTTCTAAGATGCCCTCCCGCCCGCTTGGAAGGCCGCACCCCTTCGCGCAATCCTCAGGGCCAATTTCGGTCCGATCGATCCGGTTCGATGTCGCTTCAGGCGGTTCCAGTCCGACTCGATTTCGATGTTCTGACGATCCGATGCGGTCCAGTTGTCGCACGGCGCTGTTGTGCATAGTGTCGCAGCTGGTCCGATTCAGTTTCGGCTCCGCCCGACCCGACGGACGTTCCTGTCCGATCCGTTTGCCCGACTCGGTGCTGACTGATCCTGCAGAAGGCTAGCGTTTTCCAGAACTCGGTCCCGCGGCCGCTGTCCTGACGGTCCTGGCCCGATGTGTGACGGCCCAGTGTTCGCGAGAGGTGTGCAGCGGGGCGGGAGTTCCCGTCGAGTCTCATGTTGGGTGCCGTCATGTGTCTGACGGCCCCGTCGGGCAATTCCCAGTCTGGCGCGGCCCGCCGCCGGAGTGACCTGTGGTGCGCGGCTCTCGGGCGGCCAGGTTTCCCGGACAGGAACCTCCCGACGTGCCCGTGGCTTCCTGGAGGCCTCCCTGCTTCGGGGTGCGTTCGAGAAGCTGCCGCCTCGCCGAGAGCGTTCCGTGGGTGCCCCAGGCCGCCCCTGCCGGCCGCCAGAGACACTCGTCTGCTTGCTTGGACCGTTTAGTAAACGTTACCTCTCCATATGATCCCTAAGTTACTCTAAGGTTACTGCAGAGCTACTTTAACTGTTTCCCAGGGTTGGCTCCTCTTTAGCAATGCCCATTTATCATAAGGCCAGACACCGGAGGGAGTCGGACGGATCCTTCGCCGGAGTGGGTGCTGGAGCGCAGCGACAGCGGGGCTCGGGCGGGTGGCGACGGGGGGTGGCCCAAGCGGAGGATGAAGAAAAGGGCCCCAAAAGGGGCCTCGTAGGGCCCCTGTTGGGCACCCGCTGTCTCCAACAGAAGGGGCCCTGAGGGGCCCCTTTAGGACCTTTTTCTTCACCCACCGTTTGGGTCACGTCCCATTGCCACCCGGGAGGGAGAGGGGGACGCGGGGGGGAGGGTGAACCAGGGCCTCGAAGTCCAGGAGGTCGTTTGGATTCACAGCTCCTCCAGGATCCTGTTCTTGCACTCATGGCTGGTATTTGTTTTCTTACGGTCGTTGTCTGAGGAGCTGGGCGCTCCATTGCCAGGTCAGCCGCCTCGTTGTCTCCGTCGCCGCCCCGTCGCCACCTCGTCGCCGCTCGGCGTCTGGGCTGCACCACTGCGCTACCGGCCCAGCCGTATTGTTGTCGCCGTCGCCGCCCAGGAGCTGCCTCGTCGCCGTTCGGTACAGAGTGAGCCACAGAGGTTGCTCCACAGAGGTCGCCCCGCATAGATTGCACCACGGAGATTGCGCCACCAAAATTGCACCGCATAGTTTACACCTCACCTATTCTCCTGTCTAGACGAGGAATGCGGATTTACGAACCTCCCCCAGACTTATCGGGCCCCTTCTCGGGATGTGCAGTTTACATACGACTCTGCCCCATCGTTGATCCGAAAGTTGAACTCACACCATCCCAGCCAAATCGGTGTCGACCTGCCCCCCCATCTCCCCTGACATTTTATACGCTGCGCGCACATTAGTTTATCACGAATATCAATGTCCAATAATCCCTTGCATAAGATGGGACGAAGTCCACACGCGCGCGTCGTCGCGCGTGCATGCCCAAATCCTTCTAGTCGTAAGGAATTCCCGATCGATCGTCCCGAATATAAAGTATGTATATACATAGAGATGTGCATCTATGTATATGTGTACACACAAAGCCATGGTTGTTGGAATGCTCATGCAACTTACCCGGGGACGTACCTAACCCGTTGCACACATGAGGCGACTATGCACAGGACCGTTCAGTACAAATGAACATGCGAACATGCTGAAGGACCCGCAGTGCGCATGAAGCCCCAGAAGTTCGCAAGAAAGCATGCAGGAATCAGCAAGATAGAGACGTAGGCATACGCATGCAGAGGGGTGCGATGGAGGGACAAACATGCTCAGTAACAGCAACAGCGCCGATCGCTACATGCGCGGGACAGAACAGCGCCATGCGCTCGCTCTATAGCAGAACAGCGCGTCGCGCTGAACGAGGCAAACGCGCGGGGTGGCGTGGCGGGCCAGCATGGTCCAAACTTGATCCCTGTACAATTCCACTCCGCTGGCCCTCCCAGAAACCCACGAAAGTGGCGACTGTTCCGCATTTCGCAGCCACGCAGCGAGCCGCGAGGTCCCAGCTCATCCCTGTACAACTCCATTCCGCGCGAGCTCCCAGGAGCCCACGAAAGTGGCGATTGTTGCGCACTTCGCAGCCCCCCAGGGAGCCATGAGGTCCCAACTGGATTCCCGTACAACTCCACCCCGCGAGACTTCCAGCACGAAACTGGCAACAGTTATGCATTTCGCAGCCCCCGAGGGTCCCGCGAGGTCTCGGCTGGATCCGTTTACAACTCCACTCCGCTGAACCCCCCAAGAGCCCACGAAAATGGCGACAGTTGCGCACTTCGCAGCCCCCGAGGGTACTGCGAGGTGTTGGCTGGATCTGTTTACAACTCCACCCCGCGGAACCTTCCAGGAGCCCACGAAAATGGCGACAGTTGCGCGCTTCGCAGCCCCCGAAGGTACTGCGAGGTGTCGGCTGGATCTGTTTACAACTCCATCCCGCGGAACCTCCCACGAGCCCACGAACACAGTTGCGCACTTCGCAGCCTCTGAGGTTCCCGCGAGGTCTCGGCTAGATCTGTTTACAATTCCACCCCGCCGCAGAACATCACACGAGCCCACGAAAGTAGCGACGGTTGCGCACTTCGCAGCCTCTGAGGCTCCCGCGAGGTCTCGGCTGGATCTGTTTATCATTCCACCCCGCGGAATCTTCCAGGAGCCCACGAACATGGCGACAGCTGCGCAAACTCGCAGCTCCCGAGGGTCCCGCGAGGTTTCGGCTGGATCTATTTACACCTCCACTCCGCGGAACTTCCCATGAGCCCACGAAAATAGCGACAGTTGCGAACTTCGCAGCCCCCGATGGTCCCGCGAGGTGTCGGCTGGATATGTTTGCAATTCCACTCCGCGGAACATCCCAAGAGCCCACGAAAATGGCGACAGTTGCGCAAAGTCGCAGCCCCCGAGAGTCCCGCGAGGTCTCGGCTGGATCTGTTTACACCTCCACTCCGCGGGACCTCCCAGGAGCCCACGAAAATGGCGACACTTGCGCAAACTCGCAGCCCCCGAGGGTCCCGCGAGGTGTCGGCTGGATCTGTTTACAACTCCATCCCGCGAAGCCCCCCAGGAGCGTACACAAATGGCGACAGTTGCGCACTTCGCAGCCCCCGAGGGTCCCGCGAGGTGTCGGCTGGATCTGTTTACAATTCCACCCCGCGGAACATCCCACGAGCCCACGAAAATAGCGACACTTGCGCACTTCGCAGCCCCCGAGGGTCCTGCGAGGTATCGGGTGGATCTGTTTACTACTCCACTCAGCGGAACCTCCCAGGAGCCCATGAACATGGTGACAGTTGCGCGCTTCGCAGCCGCGGAGGGTCCCGCGAGGTCTCGGCTGGATCTGTTTTCGGATCCACTCTGCTGAACCTCCCGGCAGCCCCCGAGGGTCCCGCGAGGTCTCGGCTGGATCTGTTTTCATATTCACTCCGCTGAACCTCCCAGGAGCCTGCGAGGGTCCCGCGAGGTCTCGGCTGGATCTGTTTACACCTCCACTCCGCGGATCCTTCGGCGGCAGTTGCGCACTTCGCGGCTCCCGAGGGTCCCGCGGGGTCTCGGCTGGATCTGTTTTGATATCCACTCCGGTGAACCTCCCAGGAACCTTCGAAATTGGCGAGAGTTGCCCACTTCGCAGCCTCCGAGGGTCCCGCGAGGTTTTGGCTGGATCTGTTTACACCTCTACTCCGCGGAACCTTCGGCGGCAGTTGCGCACTTCGCAGCCCCCGAGGGTCCCGCGAGGTATCGGCTGGATCTATTAACAATTCCACCCCGCGGAATCTCCCAGGAGCCCACGACAATGGCGCCAGTTGCGCACTTCGCAGCCCCCGAGGGTCCCGCGAGGTGTCGGCTGGATCTGTTTACAACTCCATCCCGCGAAGCCTCCCAGGAGCGTACGCAAATGGCGACAGTTGCGCACTTCGCAGCCGGCGAGGGTCCCGCGAGGTCTCGGCTGGATCTGTTTACAACCTCTCTCCGCGGAACCTCTCCTAGGAAACCACGAAAGTGGCGACAGATGCGCACTTCGCAGCCCCCGAGGGTTCCGCACGAGGAGGAGGAGAGAGGAGGAGGAGGAGGAGGAGGAGGAGGAGGAGGGAGGAGGAGGGAGGAGGAGGAGGAGGAGGAGGAGGGAGGAGGAGGAGGAGAAGAAGGAAAAGGAGGAGGAGGATGTGGTGGTGGTGGTGGTGGAGGAGAGAGGAGGAGGAGGTGGAAGAGAGGAGGAGGAGGCGGAGGAGGCGGAGGAGGTTGAGGAGGAGGAGGAGGAGGAGGAAGAGTAGGAAGAGGACGAGGAGGAGGAGGAGGAGGAGGAGGGAAGAGGAGTAGGTGGAGGTGGAGGTGGAGGAGGCGGAGGAAGAGGAGGAGGAGGAGGAAGAGTAGGAGGAGGACGAGGAGGAGGAGGAGGAGGAGGAGGGAAGAGGAGTAGGTGGAGGGGAGGTGGAGGAGGGAGGAGGAGGAGGAGAGGAGGAGGAGGGGTGGTGGTGGTGGAGGAGGAGGGGGAGGAGGTGGAGGAGGAGGAGGAGGAGGAGGAGGTGGTGGAGGTGAAGGTGGAGGAGGCGGAGGAGGAGGAGGTGGTTGAGGAGGAGGAGGAGGAGGAGGAGGAGGAGGAGGAGGAGGACGGGAGGAGGAGAAGGTGGAGGTGGAGGTGGAGGAGGCGGAGGAGGAGGAGGAGGACGTACGGACCAGACAGTGCTCGATTCAAAACGAGAACCAAACCAGGAGGGTTGGGAGTAATGAGGAGGAGGAGGAAGAGGAGGAAGATGCGCAGCCCCGCAGGAGGGGAGGTGAGGGGAGGAGGAGGGGAGGGGAGGAGGAGGAGGAAGAAGGAAAGCAGCACGGAGGAACGGACCAGACAGTGTTTTCTTTCAAACCGAGAACCAAACACAGGAGGGTTGGGAAGAAGACCGGCGGTCTGCGCGGATTTCTTGGCCCGGCGTTGGACCTCCCTTGCGGCGCCTCCGGCGCCGCCGCTGGCGCGCTTCGCGCGCCAGGGAGTGGGACACAACGCCGACACAAGGAATCCGCGCGGACCTTCGAAAGCGTGCGCTCATGCTGCTTATTCTTCGAGCCTCATCAAAGAGCCATCCTGCCCCTACGCTGTGCCCGCCGTTCGTCCAGATAACGACGTCCCCATTCCAGCCGAGGGAGGCGCGAGAAGTGGCGCTTGGCGTTCGCGCCCAGGGGGGAGGGGGTGGGGAGCCTCGAGCACGCAGGCCGCTGTTGTAACGATCGGCGGACCGCACACCAAAGGCCACTCTTGCCTAGGCTCACTCCCTGCGAGCACAGTGGAGACCCATGCCACGAAACACCGTGCTTCTTGGAAGGCGCGGGGCCCTGTCTGTATAGACGCAAGGCAGGCGACTGCTGAGCAGCAGCCTCCTCAGAAGTCTTCCCCCCATCCCCCTGCCGTGGAGACCCATGCCAAGAGACACCCTGCCTGCCTCCATGGCGCCCTGGGCTTCCTGGGCTTCGACGGCTCTGCGAGGGAGAGCGCGACGCGCCCACACCGAACATCGGGGGACGCCCCTGGGGCCCCCGGGGGCCAGGCTTCCTGCGCAGGGTCTCTCGTGCACTGGCCCCCCCAGTGCAGCCGGGAGGAGGCCACCGGCGCCGACGACGAGGCCGGGGAGGACGCCGCGTGCCTGAAGGCCGCGGGGAGGGAGGCCTCGAGGGCCGCGGCTGCCAGGGTCGACGCCGGAGGATCGGGGCTCCGAGGTTCGAGGCTCGAGGCCAGCAGGATCGAGGCTTCTTCTTGCCTCCTGTGAATTTCCCGGAGGCTTCTCGTCGCCACGGCTGGGCTTGGCAAACGAAGGTCGGGAGGACGCCGCGTGTCTGAAGGATGCAGGGTCGAGGCTCATGTGTTGAAATGCTATGTTTTTTTGGCGCCTCTCAGAAGCTCTTTGTCGCTACGGCTTGATCCGCTTCGAAATTCTGTTCGAAATGCACCACACCCAGGAGGGGTCCGCGTGGAGATGTTGCATTCCAGGACCCCGATCCCTCTCGCGTGGTGAACAAAATCGCAACGGATCGTGCTCGGCTGCTTCCGGCGTCTGGGGGCCTTTACCGGGCCCCAGGCCGAGTCTTGTTGGCAACATGGACGTCCGGCTGCCTGGGTTTTCACGCCGTGGATCCCTGGAGGGGTCCTGCTCCCTTGCTTGTTTTTGCTGCGACGCGAGGGCGCCGGAGGGGGCTTAGATCTGAGCTCGAGCTGCGATTTCGGCCCCGCCGCCGTCGCTTTTTTTTTGGGGGGGGGTCCCATCCCAGGGCAGGGGCCCAGAGTTGTCGATCACGTATCCGGGCTCCCTCGAGGGGGTCAAGACACCTGGGGCGGAGGAGGAGGAGGAGGAGGAGGAGGGCATGATCGCCCCCGCGCGTGTGAAGGACACGTCGCCATGAGGAACGGGTGTCCTGAGGCAAAGGGGTCCTGAGGGTTCTCCCAGTTCGACCTCCTGGGGCCCTTCCCGGGCCCAGGGGCCGTGGGAGCACAGATGAGAAGTCGGGGCAGGGCCATGTGATCTTGGACCCGTCCTCTTCAGGACCCCTGTCTTTCTCCATGTCAGGGGAAGGGGGAGGACAGGAACAAGAGGGGCGGCTCCCTCCTCTTCCATCCTCCGTCTTTTTCTGTTCTCCTTTTCCTCCTCCTCCTCCTTCTCCTCGCTCTTCCTCCCGCACTGTCCTGCTCCATCCGTCGCGCTCACCAGGCGCTACCGCTCGCTCGGGGCACCCACAAAGGGGAGAGGAGTAGGAATGGGAGGAGTCGGGGGAGGAGGGCGGACGAGGGGAGGGATGCTAAAAAGGAGCAGGGGGGGGGGCGGAGGGAGGCACCCGTGCGAGCGGAAAATCCGACTTGAATAAGCTGGCCCGAAGGCGCTCAACGGTGCATCGGCTGCTGAAGCCGAAGCCCAAACTGAAGTGCACAGAGAAAAGCAAAGGACCCGCCGTGCAGGTTTGTTGATAGCACATCGTTGAGCGGTGCTGCAGCCTCTCCTGAGCACAAGCCCCCCCCAACGTCAGCCAGACAAGTCGGGTTTGCACCCTCATGCATTGCTGGACTCCTGGGCGCGTTTCGGCACAGCCACTGCCGCCGTCACCCCCTCGTCAGGGCCACCGACTCGGGTGACAGCGACAGTGACAGTGGCGGTGGCCGACGCGTCCAAATAGTGGCGGCGTGCACAGCCAGACTGCGCAGGCCATGCGCGACGAGGGCGCCACGTGGGCCATGCGCGACGAGGGCGCCAAGTGGGCGCCGCCTGAGGCCCGCGTGGGGCAGCCTGCTACCGCGGGGCACCCCGCTGCAGCGAGCGGCGCTGTCGACTGATATTATATCTATACTTCGAGCAGTGCGTCGCCGATCTCACCAGGTGATCCCGCGGCCTACAGCCCCGACGCGGACCCGGGCCAGCCGGCCACGCGGACGCCCCAAACGCTCGAGAGTGAGTGACGGGGGCATGCGAGTGCAACGGCAACGTTCGCTGTCATGGACAGGCCAACACCTGAGGTCCTGTCAACAGGCACGGGGACACCTTCTTGCTTTTCCCAGGCGCCGGCGGTGAGCGCCAGAGACAACGGCGGACCTGGCGCGTTTGCCACTTGGGCCGCTGGAGGAAAAGATCGCTCATCCCATCATTATCATTCTCGTGCTCTTGTCATCGAGGATATACGAACAGCTCGCGCTGAACTCCGAGCTCGTGGATACATGTGCGATCCTATAACACGCGCAGAGGTCATGACCTCCACGGGTACACAATATTTGGGTGTCTACTATAGGGGGGATATCAACTCTTATGGGTGGCAGCGCCCGCTGGTTGGCACGTGCGACTGCCTGGTAAGCAGGCGGGGCCACGCTATCAGCGCATCCGAGATATCATGGTCAAAGCTCGGGCCTTCCGCATGTCTATAGTGCTCATTGGGTCCCCAGGTGACTGCTGGAAATTAAGACCCATGCGCGATGCTATCGCAGACTTAGGCCCACATGGCATGCGATTGCGATGCTGTCATTTCGGGCTTAGGTTCGATCGCTCGAGTCGTTCGCCAAGTGGTTCTTACTTGCAGGTGGCAGCGACGCGCGCGCGCCCCAGCTAACCCGTGGACACCCACGCGCCAGACTGCGGGGAAACCTGCCGAAAGAGCAGAACATGAATTATATTGGCACGGCCACGGCGCCCAGAGGGCGGAATGGCGAAACCAATAAGTCGCTATCATGACTGCACGACTGCTCGACCAAGTTGATGCACATAAAAACGCAGAGGAATGATACAAGTGCTGTATGTTCCAGCGTGCGCACCTGGATAGGTAAAGGACCTCGGACCCACGTCCAGTCTCCTAAGAATGGCCCATCAATGGGACCACGCGGCGCGCTGGGCAACTACAAACCTCGACGACGATACCACCGTGCAAGATATCGCGGTTCGAAACCAACCTATCGGATACAACTGGATAGCTCCGTTGCCGAGTGGAGTGACCGACGTCCGCTCAGTAACGAAGGGCAGCGGCTACGCCCAATTAGAGTTAGGCGTTGGGACCGTCGATGACGATCGACCCCCCCCCCTTCCTTCGATTTGGGCGCGGCCGCGCGCTGCCCCTACTCCAGAATGTCCGACGCTATGCCCGACAATGAGCAGTCGCAGGAAGCGCCGCCTGCTGATGCCCGGACATACGTGTATATATATATATATATATATATGTAGAGATGCAAGATTTGAGGGTTCGTTTCGCTTCGCCTCAATCTTGGTCCTGCGGCCATGCGCACCTAAACACTCGGTGAATGGATGGCGTCTGCAAACACATGATGACCGTGAGAGGGGTGGCGGTCCGTCATAATTCCCGGACGGGTCATAAGCATTCCTGCGCTTGGGAGACGGCGACATACCGCGACGAGGCCATAGTCACCGATGAGGGGTTAGAGGAAACGGTGACCACGAGGGGGGTCGCGGTCACCTCCGCAAAGACGCACCCGAAACTTGTCTCTGGACGTCCCCCGGGCCAAACAGACTGCATGCTGCATGGTCGTCGCGCTTCTCTTGGGAATCAGTAGCCCTCTGAGAGGGCAGAGCATTGCAGTGAGACGATCGGGAAAGAAGAGGAGGAAATGATATGAAGGGAAGACGAGGAGAGGAGGGCGAGGAAAAAGCGAGAGAGACGGTCGGGGAAGGCGAGGAGGAAAGGAAGAGGGAGAGAGAGAGGAGAGGACAAAGGGGGAGGAGGATGACACGAGGAGGGCGAGATAGGACGAGGAGGGAGTCAGTACAGGAGGAAGATGAAAAGGATAAACTGGGAAAGGGACGAGGGAACGAGTGGGGGGTTGCGATGTGCGAAACTGTCGCTACCTTCGTGGGCCGCTGGCGGGTCCAGCGGAGAGGCGCGATCCGCGGACCAGAATGAGGCCTCGCCGTCCCGGGGGGCTTCGAACAGCGAAGCTGTCGCCACGTTCGTGGCCCCCTCGTCATTGCTCCTTTGTCAGATCGTGATCGCCCTCTTCCCGATGATATGAGTCGCAAGAGTGATGCCGTGAATGGGGAACACTGGTCTGCGGCCTCACGTTCTTTGGCGAAGCGTTCAAGGATACTGCGAATCCTTCAAGGCGTAAGTTGGAAATAGACGGTCCTGGGTATAGTCGCCTCTTGTGTACAAAGGGTTGGGTGCGTCTCCGGGTCAGTTGTTTCTGGAGGGTCTCTTGGGGACCCCGGGGAAACTATCCTTGGGCGTTTCTGGAACCTGTTGGGCCTTGATTGGGGCACCGTAAGCTCGAAGACGGCCCAAGAGCGCGTCAGGAAGTCCATTCGTTGCCTCTCCTTCTCAGAAGCCTCGCGATCGCCAGGAGTGGCTCGGGGCGTCCGGGGGGGGCTCTTGGAAGCTTTTTGGGGCGTCCTGGGGGCCTCATGGGAGTTTTTTGGGGGCCGCCTGGGGGCCTCTTGGGGGCCGCGTAAGGGCCTCTTGGGGCCCCGTGGGGCCTCTTGGGGGCCTCTGGGGGCATCCTATGGGCCTCTTGAAGCCGAAGGCTTGAAATTTGAACTTGGTTTTCGTTTTCTGGGACGCCTGTGCGGCCCGTCCAGAAGGTCTCTTCGGCTGTTTTTGGGGCCCTTGGGGCACTCTTGGGCTCTCTTTGGGCGTCTTGGGGCCTTCTTGGGAGCCTCTTGGGCCGTCTTGAGAGTCTCTTGGGCCGACTTGGACGGTATGAAAGGCCTAGAGGCGAATATGTTGAGAATGTATTTTTTACATCGGGAATGGGGTTATTTTGGCTTCGCGGGGCCCTTTTGGGGGGCCTCTTGGGTGCCTCTTGGGCCGTCTTGGGTCGCCTAGGGGCGGTCGCGGTGTCATCTGAGGCATCTTGGGCCGGTGTCCTCGGGCGTCTTGGGCCGCTGGGGGGCCAGTAAGAGCGTTTCGCGCATCGCTCGGTGACCTGGAGGGCTTGGAAGTCCGCTGGATAGGGGCCCGGGGGCCAAGGGCGGCAGTCCAAGAAGGTATGTGTGGGGGGGCGTGGGCCATCCGGGGGGGGTTTTCCTTACAGGATGTATACTTGTAGTAATATATATATATATATATATATATATATATATACATATATATATATATAAACAATAATAATAAAGCTGACAAAGAAGCCAGACATGCCGCGCAAGATACCCAAACAGGTCGAAAACGGCAACGACGATTGCTGCGTGGA